ACTCTTGTCCTACATGTATCTGCACTTTGCAGTGTTACATGTATTTGCACTGCAGCAAAGGCAAACATGCCTGTGGCTTGAGGGAATAGTGGTACGTGTCCATCGTGTCCTTCATTGACATGATTGACATGGGACGACAAAATATGTCCTTTTACTGCTTAACCAGTTCACATAACAAACATTGAATTTCATGTGACATGTTTGATGTACAGCCTATGCATGGACCCGTACTGTGCACACATAAATGTTCAGTCGGTATGTGAATTTGCATTTAGCATCAGCAACTCAAACACATTGGCTTGTGATATTCCTAATGTTTGTACCATTGTGTAAGCAGACAGCTGGCTGCATCACAAGCAGGATTGTTCATACTGTATGCCTGCATGCTTTATGTGTAACTGGAGGATTAAGATTAGACTGCTGGACAAATTTACATTTATTTTGGTCTTTTAGGTTTCTTGAAAACATTTACACACATCTAAAATGAGTTCTTCAAATCCCCACTACTAAAGATTCATCTTGATTTTTCAATCTACACAACTGCTGAAATCCCAGCAAAAACGCGAAACGGTAACGTCGTTAAAAAGACTGTAAAATATTCAGTAAAGCTGAGAAAAACGTCAGGGTCAGGTAAAAATTCTCGATGACTCGCTTTCATATTACACAGGGTCATTTGGTTCCTGTTGTATATATTGCTACAAGGTTACAATAAATAGTTGCAGTGAAGGCCAGACTAAAGTATCACTATAATAACACTGGATTTGTCACGAATGAGCTGAGAACCAAAATGCAACACACGGGAAACCAGGGAAAGTCGGTAAGCAGCTTTATTATAAAGTGTCTNGCTCTTTTTGGTGTGAACGCAAAATAAGGGGTACTAACGGAACTAAACGGGAAAAGTACGGGGAAAAGTACTCCGGTGTGAACGCGCCTAATTGAGTCAATGACTCAATTAGGCGCGTTCACACCGGAGTACTTTTCCCCGTACTTTTCCCGTTTAGTTCCGTTAGTACCCCTTATTTTGCGTTCACACCAAAAAGAGCACTTAGTGCCGGGAACTTTTACCTCAATTTTTTGTGCCTGCTGAGAGGTGGTACTATCCTGGGGAGAAAAAAGTACAAATTTCAATTGGCTGGGCGAATTGCAAACCACGGCCCGTAAAACTCTGAAAAGTTTTGTGAAGCCGCCATTGTATTTTCTGGCATTAGCATTATTAGCATTAGCATTAGCCCCGCGCACCAACGGAGAGAGAATAACTTATGGCAACACAAAAAAACCTAACTAGTGGGGTTTGGGGGCATGCACCACCAGGAAGATTTTTTTTAAATGTTGAAGTTAAAAGCATCAATCTGGTGCACTTTGAGAGCAACATGAAGAGATCTATGGATACATCTCTCAGTCAACACCCATATGAAACAGAACTGCAAGCAGATTTTTTTCTTTATGGATATTTTACAAATCACTTCCCTTTTAAACTGTATTCTTGTTTATTAATAACAACTTTTTTGTACTGTCATATTAGTATTGTATACCTGTTTACTTTATTCTCATTTTTCTATAACTATAATGATCATATAAAGATGTGCCTTTACCTCACTGGTTGGAGTAAAAGCTTCTTATATTCGTTAGCATAGCTAGCTAACCAGATGCTAATAACAACAAAGTTATTAACTGTATGATCAGTATGACAGATGAACAGATCGCCACTGGGCTTTCAACTAAAGGCACAGCCACGCAAAAACTGCGGCATGTGTACGGCTCCTTATGGGTATTGCAATTTGTGAAGTCCCGGCCCGGAGCCGCATTCTGGTGCTCTCCGTTAGAACTACACTCCTGTCAGACGAGACATATACCACGTGATGACACGTTAGGCTCGTGTTGTGTTCAAGGACCCTGACCTTGGCCAGGAAAAATAAGCTTGTTTAATTATTTTGCGGTCTCGATTTCTTGAATTTTTGCCTTTTTTGCGTGTGTTTATAAATTACCTCGAGGGCCGTACCAAATGGTCTCGCGGGCCGTATACGGGCCGGAGGCCGGAGGTTCCCCACCCCTGCTTTAAAACAATACAAATGAACAGTGCTCGACACTCACTTCACATCCAACTTATTTACTCACTAGCATAATTTTTTACACAGATGATAATACTGCCAAGATTATCTATCATCACCTTCCTGACCTGTCATGTGACATTATCATCGTGTATATCCTGAGGCAGAAGGAGGGCTTGATGCATGCAGTGTGTGTGTCACAACGTTGTCACTTTCCAGGCCACACAGGCCGACTGGCAAGGACATATGGCCGACCCGCAGAGGGCCATCGGCAGGAAACCCTTTCCTCTGCACTCAACCTCTCTGGCTGCGAGTGGCTGATTGGACGTGACGTGACAGGTGGATAACCGTACAGGCGACAGCTGGACGCCTGCCGGGATCTGAAGAGTCTCCAGTTTAGAGCTGATTGAACCTGGCTCTCCGTTTCACAGCCTTCTGATACTATGCAGTGACCACTGATGCTGAATGGAAGAAAAAAAAATACAACAACGTTAAAATCGAAGCCAGACATGCTGCTGCTGGGATTTGAACAGTTGGCCTGCTTCAGTTCTGTGTTCCAAGTCAGCCAATTAGAGACAAACATGAATCCACAGGCAATGCTAAATATTAATGAATGACTCTTGGAAAGCTAGAATATGAGATATCTGCTGGTACAGATTACCATATTATTGCAAGAGGATTTTTTTCCTCTGTTCACCTCAACAGAAAATGATCATATCTAATTTGCCTACCTGTTGTTGTGATTGTGAGTAAGTCCCCATGCAGGAAAAAAAGCCTTATGGCTTCCAGCAGCATTTAGTTCTCGCTGGTTGCATTGTGGTGAGATCTTTATTATAAATAAATGAAATTGGTAAACAGTTGAGAGCTTCAATTGATTTTATAGCAGAATCTTTTCAGCCATCTTAAAACTCAATACCAGATATCATCTTTTGGTGTGGGCTTTGTGGACTTGCTATTTTGCATTGATGTTCATCAGAGTTGAAGGGAAATGTCCATTGTTGAAAAGCCAGAGACGTCAGTTTTTTCACTGACAGCAGCCTCTGAATGCAAAAAAAAGCCACAAGACATGTGACTAAAGGCTGTAACTTCCTTATACGTACAACTCGATAAAAATGATCCATGACATATTTAAAATGTATACAATATGAGGGATTTGTGATGTGATAAAACCAATCTTTTACCTTTTAGAGTATATAATGCATGTGACACAATCAGAACATGTGGAATAAGAGTTTTTCCAACTATAAACAAAAACAGAATCAATTGAATGTTAAAGGGTTTAATTACAGTAAATGATGGTTCAGAGGTTTGTTATTTCTCTGGGAGAATCTCTGGGAAAACATTTATTACATCCCAAGCAATTGATCTACAAGATCTTGAAAAAACGAAATGTTAAGGAGACTTAACTTTCTGAACTGTGGATGTACCCAACCTATGTGTAATGAGCCTGAGAATTGGGTTGGATTAACTTTGGGTAATTGCAATAAGATTGCAATCAAAGTTTCAATTAGACTGCAGCCACAGTTAGGTAACTCCCGCCTGGGTGTTGATTTGCGATCTGGTAATTTGGAATTAGAGTGTTAGTCTTCTCGCTCTCTTGTTCATTTTATATCTTTCAAGTTAGGGGAGGTTTTTCTGGGTTGGGAGCTTCATTACTTTTCCTGTGTACGTCCATAAGAGGAATCTAAAGTGTTACCGAATTTCCTGTTTGGACAGGCCAATTAGCCCAAACGATGAGGCTGTGCTTAAGGACTTTTTAAGTAATCAGTGTGTTCTCCTCAAAAGAATAAAATAATTGACCAATGATTTACCCCAGGGTTTCCAGCATTGTAGATGTTGCTATAAGTGAGCTGTGTGTCTGTGCGGCCCTGCTAGAGCTCCAACACTTTGACAGATGGAGATATTTCAAATTGCAGCTTCAACATAGACCTCAATGAATGCCCTTTACATAAAAAAAAAAAAAAAAAAAGAGTTAAAGGCTTGCCACCTCTGATTCTGGCCTAATTATTTCCTAAATAATCTGTACATCAAAATGAGATGAAAATGTCCTAATCTAATCCATTTGATACTTCTTTCCAGCCCAAATGTTTTGTCTTTTTTTCACGTCTTTTAAATATAGCTTGACATTCCCTAAGGGAGGTTACTATTGTAACAGTATCAGGTTTAAAACCACCAGACTCAGGGACAGTTTCATTCCACAGGCCATAAGACTGTTAAACACCTGAACTAAGAACATCCATAACATTCACCTGTTTTTCAATTTACAAATTAGTTATCACTTGTATATAGTCTCTTATGGCACTACTTATATTCAATTTATTGTATTTATTTGCACTATGTATCTGTTGTATTGTGTTGCACTGTTGGAGGAGCCTGTGACCTAAGATTTTCATCGACATAACTACACTGTAGCTATGAACGAATGACAAAAAAAAGCCTTGAATCTTGAAACTGTATGGAAATACATTTGATAAATGTAATTAGTAAAACTAACAGTAGGGGGCAGCAACACCCTTAAAGACATTGGTCTATGTACACGAAGAAAACGGTGACCAACGAGGGGCCATAGAAGTAGAATATCCAGATCAGTTTGCTCTAATTAAATTAATTGTCCTTTCTTTGTGTTGGATTCAATTGTGTAGGGTTATTTGTGTTTTCATTGGTTGATTCCTATTGAAGTTTCAAAGCACATCATGTTGAATAATATAATATTCCTGTTTCTGGTGTGTACCATAAATAGGTTGAATCCATATATATCCAGTTAAAGTCAACATATTACAGTATCTATTTACAATGCATTTCAGATGTTTCTGTGATTCATTCTCTATTTTCATTTCTAAAGAAGGACAAACACAAATACGATACATTATTAGGAAATACTGGAAAATATAGCAGCATCTTTTTAGTACTAAGCAAACTTAGCTACATGCCTGTCTATGTGGTTTGATTCTATGTCCAGGCTGCTGCTGTATTGTTTTGATTAGGAAAATCATTTGCACAGGTACAGATACGGATTACGTTATCTAAGGTTAGTTTTCATTCGATGATTTTGATAAATATACATTCAATATTTCAGTTAACATAGTATGAAATCTCATCTTGACGAGTTAATGTAACCTACAGCAAAAAAATAGGTGCCCGTATGCTAGCTGACTGCTTGCTAACTGAGTGCTAACGCTAGCTAGGAACATCAGTCCAATGTCCTAGTGTTAGACGAATTTTTCTGATGATATCTTCAATATGTCTTTGCTTTTAAACATTTTTAATTTAAGACAGTCCTACATGCTGAAAAGCGCATTTTATGCACCGCAGCTGTTAAAACTGACATTAGCTCATTTGTATAACCGAAGCTAGCTAATAAAAATGCTCACACCATTTGTGAGAATATCATCAACATTTAAACGTCTGCCAATTTAAAATGACATACGTTTTTACGTTACATTAGATTCTGACCACTCACTAACGAGTGTGACTATATATTGTCTTACCATATTTACCACAGCATTTGCTAACACCAACGCTTTCAACCCTGCTGACTGGGTGCTCATACATAAGCATTAAGGACCTCACAGTAACGTTACTACAACCAATAAACAACGCTCAATGCTAACATAACAACAACATGTGCTAATTACTTTTATTTAGCTATTTTTTCGGATTTAAAATATAGGATAGCACAGTTTTTAGGTCTATGTTTGCCTTGTATTTATTGCAGCCAATTCTAGGATGCATAGCTTGGAATAGGAATATTTAAATGCTTGCAAACAGTCATATATATCATCATTTAAATATACAGAGCAATGCTTGAGGAGTCTAAAAAGATAAACGCATTTTCTGTGTGTAAAGTGAACTTAAGAAATAGTGAAGCACTGAGTGTAGAGATATTACTCTGTCCACGTTAAACCATGTATCATGTATTGTGTGCGTTCACCCAGCAGAGGGTACTATGGCATAGCTTTTATTTGTGAGGTTTAGGAAGCAAAACACTGGGAATATAAAGTATTTTACATGTTTGTTAGCTTGAGTGTTTGTTCATAGTTAAGCATCAGCATCTTAAAGCCCTACCTGCTGGTACAGTTTGTTTAATAGGCGACACACCTTTTTGTTTGTCAGTATCTGTATGACTTTGATGTGTCACTAGAAGCTGACCTCAGGCATCATAGAGTATGAGAGAGAAACCCTGCCTAACTGATGCTGCTGTTGGGGGAATTTCCCCCTCATTTTCTTCCCAAAAGTGCTTTTTGTGGTAGACCGGCTAATTCCTCTGTGACTTTTCCCACAGTACTTAGTGACAGGGGGCAAAACCACATCCAGGATACAGAGGCTTGCTTCCCACGTAGTTATTTAGAAGAGGGGCAAAAGGTTAAAATACAACCTGGGCTGTTTGCCCGGAAGAGCCCTGAGTCAGTATATTTTTAATTAGGTGCTTCCTGAATTAATTTAGAGTTGTTCGATTTTTTGTGTTTCATAACTGACCTAATATTATTCTAAAAGTAGTTAGTAGTAAAAATGTGTTTCAAGCTATGATATAACTCTAGTAAAAAAATAAAAAATCTGTCCACACCACGACTCTTGAAAGCTTAGTTTGAACAGAAGTTCAGCTAGAGAACAGATTTTATTTCCCAGAGAGATTTTTGAGATGTAGCTGTGACAGTTCAACAGCTACTTCCTCCTGTTGAAAATAGGCTAAAATAGCATCTAAGGAGTGGGGGTGTTGTTGTTTTGTTTCATTAAATTGCTCAATGATGATTGATAGCAGCAAGACATTTCTATTAGAGGAAGCGTGACTGGCCAAGAGCACGTTTGGATAGCGTACAATACTGAGAATCGACAATCCGCGATTCGCTCAAACCCTGTCTCAAAGTGCTTCATTCACATTCATCGGGATAAAATGTGTGTCTATGTGTGTCTGTGGTGAGGTAAGCCTTACCTTAACTAATGGATGACCTTTCAAGATCATATATGGCAGGAAAGTGTGTAGCTCTAACCAGAGATGAGAAAAAAACGAAGACTTGAAACCAGACTGGAGCCAATGACTCATGAGTGGTGACTTCACTTGGACTTTTGCCTTTTGAATGAGAAAAACGTAATTACTTTCCCGCAAGCCGGCCACAAATAAATGACTTTCTTTTCATTTCCTGAATCACTAACATTAATGCTATTTGTTCAAGTCAACACTTAATGTGCCAGATCCACTTTATTTGAAACAATCCAACAGCCTCCAATCAAGCTGGAGGAAAGAACCATGGAAAATCAATTCTATGTCACGGAGCCCATTTGGAAAAAATTATACAGAAGAATAGATATTTTCTTTGAGCACAAATAATATGAGTTGGTAAAAAAAAAAGGGCATATTTTGCGATAATTGAGATTTACTTGTGACTTTCAGAACAATGTCTTCGTCTCACGTCGAGCTTTCATCCTACTGGTTTGAGAAGTTTCCTATTCTAACATCTCCCTCTGTTTTTCCCCCCAGATCTTCACCGTAGTCATCGTGGTCATGGAGGAGCAGACCGCCTCTCCTGGAGCCAACGCCGACAACAACGGCCAGAGAAATGGAGACGAGGTAAGAGCTGGACTCGCTGTTAACACATGAAAATGTTTTCCGATTCAAACTCCAATGAATGTCCTGCCATTACATAACACACAGGACTGCTACCTGAAGCTTCAAAACATCTCTGTTTTTGTCGTCTCTGCAGAAGCCCCGACGTGGCAACTGGACCAAGGGGAGGAAGAGGAAGAAGCCGATGAAGGACAGCAACGCACCCAAGGCCCCCCTCACGGGCTACGTCCGCTTCATGAACGACAGACGGGAGCAGCTTCGGGCCGAGCGTCCGGACGTGCCCTTCCCAGAGATCACCAGGATGCTGGGCAACGAGTGGAGCAAGCTGCCCCCCGAGGAGAAGCAGGTCAGTGAGGAAGATCCAGACTGAGAAAACAACTGTGAGGAATCATGTGTCAATGAGGGTTGGATAAATGACTAATTACAAACATTTTTGATTTATACTCCAATTGTGATATAATTCACAATAGGCGGATTCACACCGGAGTACTTTTCCCCGTACTTTTCCCGTTTAGTTCCATTAGTACCTCTTATTTTGCGTTCACACCAAAAAGAGTACTTAGTGCCGGGAACTTTTAGACTCATTTTTAGTGCCTGCTAGAGAGGTGGTACTATCCTGGGGGGGAAAAAGTACCAATTTCTATTGGCTGGGCGAATTGCAAACCACGCCCCGTAAAACTCTGAAAAGTTTTGTGAAGCCGCCATTGTATTTGTTGGCATTAGCATTANGAAGCTGCTGGGACTCCCAGCAGCTTCTACTGAAGCCTTCCGAGTAAATCGCCAGAACGCCGACACATCCTCATCTCCACCGCTCCCATGTTTTCTTTTGTGTTGCCATAAGTTATTCTCTCTCTATGCTAATGCTAATGCCAACAAATACANAGGCAGGGGGGGGGTGTGTGGGAGAGAAACTCCCTCTGGATGGATTTGGGGATTTTAGCCTTTGCAGACCATTATCATTGAGCTATATAGTTTTTTGCGCATGATAATGGTCTGCAAAGGCTAAAATCCCCAAATCCATCCAGAGGGAGTTTCTCTCCCACACACCCCCCCCCTGCCTGAAACGCCTCCATTGTGGACTTCTTTGATTACTAACGTAACATAGTGACATCACTATGTAACCCTCGTGCTTCTATTGGCTAGCGCTCCAACACATTGTCATTATAGGCTAAGGGGCGGGACCTCTCTCCCATTGTCAATTTTGTGTATTACTCTGTTTAAATGTACCCATGGAAACATCAACGTCTTCATCAGTTTGTATACTGTAAATATGAATGCAACAAAGGGAACTAACTAAGACGATATCGGTTTAGAAAAAGCAGTGATAAGGGAATCAACAGACCAGAGGCAGGACAGCCAGCAGTAAAATCTGTTCAGTTTTTGATGATCAAATTGATGGATTTTTAATTGTCATTACTTTCAGTAATCGCTCCAACGGTGCCCCAGAGCGCCGGACAGAAATGTTCAGCTGCAACCTGCCAGCACTTAATCTGAAGCCACATTTTCCACTCTCAAACCAGCAGAGAACTTTATCTATCTCTTTTTCCCTGTACACAAAAAGCGTGTCGGAACAAAAGCCTGTTGAGTCCATGGTGTCACTGTTTCAGAGCTGACAAAACACTGACTTATACATGGCTTTGTTTGCTAGTTTGACATCCTTTACAGATTGTTTTGCCATACTTGATGGCATCTTGTATTGTGTCCTCGATACGCCCTCAACTGGGAAGCAAGAATAACAGAAAAAGAATACAAAAGGATGAAGTTGCTGAGAGAAAAACAGTCGAGTTCAGGCAGATTTTTCATAACAATTTGATATTCCACTTCAAAGATATCTGAGGGACGATATTGTGATTCAACCACGGAGAACTTTCGGTGGCCTTTTTAAAAAAAATGGCCGATCATGGATCAACAAAAATGATAATGCTTTTCCACATGTTGTTTTATCAAAATGCATCAACTTGGTCTGCTAGCGAAATAGCTAGTGTTTTATCAGTTTGCTGCTTTTCTTGGCTCTCTTTCAAGAAGAAGATTAGGAAATGTTTTGTTTTGAAAAGCAAAGACTGGATAAAGCCTGAGAGCTTTCCTGCTGATGTGTATCTAATTGTTAAACCACGAGTTCAGAGCTCAGTCGGATCCACTTTCCTGGCACCAGGTCTTTGCACAAAGATGGATTTAGAAGTGTTTCCTCTAAATCCCAAACTAATGATAATACAACATGCTTTAATCTGTTTTAAGCCTCGTATTACTGCAGGTTATTAATTTAGGAAATTACATTTTTTTGCCTTTTGAAAGAAACTAATCCTGATAAGAAAAAGAACTCTCCAAATCCTCATATTTCACTGAGTCCTTCCAACTCTCCTCACCTTTCTTTCTTCTCTCTGCAGCGATACTTGGATGAGGCGGAGCGAGATAAGGAGCGCTACATGCAGGAGCTGGAGAAGTACCAGAAGACGGAGGCCTACAAACATTTCACCAGGAAGGTTCAGGAGAAGCAGAAAGGCAAGCGACACAGGGGAGGTGAGGTCTGGGTAGAGAGGCAGCAGGGGGTCGAGTAGAATCAACCATTGAAACTAGTGTAGCGACTTCACCTCCAATAAAAATGCCCCTATCACTTCCTGATTAATTGAAGATATCAAAAAGCCATGCATACTTTTGAACAGGTGGACCAAACCATTACAATCACACATAGGGGACGATATGTTTAGGGAAGTCACAAAGTTTAAATTAAAGACAAATGAGTTGTGAAAAAAGTAGTTTCATAACAGACAACAAATACAATGTGTGCAGTCTTATCATTATTATACTAAAACTAATAAACAAAAGCACAATTAGCATTTTGGCTCAAACAACCTTCTAATCTGGCAGTTAGCCCACCAACATATTAAAGCTCTGCTGTTTGAAAAGTAGTTAGCAAGATAAAAACGTTATATATCTGGTGACAATCGGATCAACCAGCTATTACATTTGGTGGACTACTGCTTCCAGGTCGACTAAAATGGAAATAAATATACAATGAATGTAATACGTTTAGCAAGCTCTCAGTTTGATTATGTAGTTGTGTGTCTATTTTCCTTTTAAAGTTAGTTTACATTAACAAATAAATACAGGTATGTACTTGTAATGTTCTTAAACATTTGGTTTTAAGTATAAAGATGCCAATTAGCAAGGCACCAAACCACTACATTTTAATTTATTTTAATTTGAACTTTACTTAACCAGGATAGGTCTCATTGAGATTTAAAATATCCTTTTCAAGAGCGTCCTGGCCCAGGAATGGTAACAGCACAGTTACAGACCATTTTAAAACCCACAATCACAACACAGTCATACAACAGTTAGCCAAAGCATTTACAGCCACAGCGGCTGATTCAAGGTCAGTTAGAGTAGCTTTGAGTTTGTTTAAAGAGACCAGCTCTCTGAGTTTCAGCTCAACTTGCAGCTTGTTCCAAGCCACAGGAGCAGCGTAACTGAACGCCCTCTTCCCCAGTACAGTACGGACTTTTGGTACATGATCTGGTAATGATGTTGGTTTGTTTGGTTGCTCATGTTGCTGCTTCAATTTGATACAAGATGTTAGTGTTTATAAAAAAAATAAGGCTAAGAAGGCAAATGGTTGCAGGGTTTGACTATATCATATGAATACATGCCTTATTTAGTGTTGAAAGTCAACACTCATTATTTGCTTTCCTCAGTCAATGTAAGGCTGTTTCTCAATCTCGAGGATACTGGCTTCCAAGCCAACATTTCAAGGATGCTACGTCATCGAGTGCCGCCGAAGGACTGTTCCAATCTCCAGCGTACTTGGAATCCCACCGAGGCCGCGTCCTTGGTTTGGGGGAAATTTTGAGGATGCACATGGGTAGACTTCGAGTCCTTAAAATCCCCACGATGCTTTGCGCACGGACCAATTTCAAAAACCCTTGCGGAGAATGGCTGAACCGATGCAGCACACATTTAAATGTAAGTATGTAGTGGCGTAGAACATGTGTTGGTAAATATGTTATTTTGTTACATTTTCTTATCACCAAAAATGTGTTCCGTGAAAGTAAAGCAAGTTCATAATTAGATAGACATCGTGAGGTATTTATTTTCGGTACAGTTTATGTTGAAACCGTTTGAGAGAGTGGCACACTTGTTAGCCTGTTCCATTTTTCTTCGTGGCTTTGAAGCATACTTGCTTCGTTTCTGAAGGAAGTGACTTGGAAGTACGCGACTACCAAGCCAGCATCCTCGAGATTGAGAAACGGCCAGTCAGTACCATATGTGTTCGCCCTACCATATGTGTTCGGGGTCCGTCGCTTACCAATGACATCACGCATTGTGATTGGCTGTACGGTAATCGCACGCTGATTGGTCTAACTAGGGGGGCTGACTAGGGTATACCGGGGGATAACGGGTCACAACCGTAAGCNGCTTTTTGCCGAACTGCATTGTGGGGAAGCAAATCGAAGATTTTCAGGATTTTCAGGATTCAAAAGTTGAGCAATGTTCAACTTTTGAAGCTGAGCTGGAAGCGTCAGCCAATCAAATCCTGTTTATGCAAATCAGACAGTACAAGCGCTAGCCAATCAAACCGCGTGTATGCTGCGAGTAGTGAATCACCCCGTGCTGTATGATCAGTCTCTGTTCATTTACCGGGATACGAACCGGAGGAACCAGGCATGGAGGGAGGTGGCAGAGACAGTGGGTGAAACTGATAGGTTTTTGCCTGTTTGGGGAGTTTATATATATATATATATATATTGCTCGCATAAAATCCCCGGGGTTTTTTGCTTTGTATGTCGGTGGCGGGAGATTCATGTGATTGGTTGTTGGTCGCAAAAAATCCCCAAGCTCTCAGACACGCCCAGCTCCAAGATTTTCAAGATTTTTTCAAAGCTGCTGTGTGGACGTACCGTATATACATGTTGTTGCATACATGGTCCCATAAATATGAATGTACTGTATACACAACAGGATAGAAAAAGTGCTGGCAGGTCATATTAACACATTTAGTTTCCCGGGTGCGAAAAAAAGCACAAATTGAATTTATTTTGAGTTTGTGTTACCATGGTTTTCTGTTATTTTCTCACTCAGGAAACTAAATCTGCTTTGTTAGCCCTCCTCTTGCTCAACCCATTAAATGCTTATTGTTGCATCACTAAAGCTGTGATAATCCTCTTTGGTGCTGTGTTTGTGTTCCTAATCCAAACACTTGGCTTTTGCTAAGTGTGTAATTCATTTGTATTAAGTTCTGCATGTCATTAAAGGTTTCCTTTTGTGAGGCTTAAAGCGTTCTGCTGAGGGGTCATGGTCAAGGTGACTTTATTGGAATCAGCATTCCTGTGTGGATTCCCCCTCCACAGATTTCAAAGCACACGGGATTCAGCATACATTTCATTATGTTATGAAATGAGAAAGGATGATGTGTTCTTTCAGAGGAAGGAGTAAACCTGCGCTGTATCTTTGTGAAACACAATTTCATTGCAAACCATTTCAAGGCCTTTGATATCTTAGCAGCACTGCTGATGAAATTACTTTGCCTTCCTCATTTCTTAAATTGTATCACTGTATTTCCCCGGTGGCAAGGTATAACATCAATTACCCACCCACCTACCAACCACGTAGATAAAGGACCAGCTCTCACTGTCAGTGTGTGCGGCCACATGTGTTCTCTCTTCAGCCTCTCCCCTTTCTGTCTCTGATCAACAGAAGGACGGTGAAGGGAAGGACAGAACTGTGTTCGACATACCGATCTTCACTGAGGAGTTCCTCAACCACAGCAAAGGTAAAGTGCTTCAACTCAGCCAGCTCTGTAACTTTTTCAAACATCCATTTGTCTAAGTGTTTCTAAACGTGTTCATGGCTACCTCAAGATAATTTGTTTAAAAGTGCTCCCAGAATACTTCCACCAACTCAGCGATGCTCTGAACTTTGAAAAGAACACACCTCTCTCAAGCAGATTAAATATGAATGCCGCTGTGTCCCCCTCTTTCTCTGTGTGTTTGTGTACAACAGCGCGCGAGGCTGAGATGCGGCAGCTGCGTAAAACCAACATGGAGTACGAGGAGCGTAACGCCGCGCTGCAGAAACACGTGGAGAGCATGCGGGGCGCCGTGGAGAGGCTGGAGGGCGACGTGATGCAGGAGAGGGGACGCAACGGGCTGCTCCACCAGCACCTGGAGACCCTGAGACAGGCGCTCACCTCCAGCTTCTCCTCCGTGCCTCTGCCAGGTGAGGACCCATATCACTGTCTGGCTGCTAAATACTCAGAACTGTTACAGGATGTGTATTTTTTTAATTTTGTAACTTTTTTAATTTTTATTTTTGTATCTTTAATACTTTTTTATGCATGCTTCTTAGGTAACATTAATCTGTCTTTGGCTCATGTCTGCTGTAACAATGTACATTTCCCCTCTGTGGGACTAATAATGGTATTCTGATTCTGAATCAAAAAAACTCTCAAGGCCTTTTCACACGGGGGAAAAGTTTGACTTTACATATATGATAATGTGTCAGGCTTTTATCATGGAAGTTAATGGAAGTACTTCTTGTATGCGCTCATTTTATCAAGGTTGAAAGGAGAAGCGAAGTTAACCATCTTGAGGACAGCATGTATTTGTTTATAATCTAAAAAAATATATATATGCATTTATACCCATTTCGTACAACGTGATTGGTTGATGAAAAAAAATGCGAAAAATCGACCTTCTGAAAATTACGATGATTTTTCGCTGCATAGTTTTCATGTGAAAGTATTCCTAATAAAATTCTTGTCATGTGAACAGGACACACATGAAAAAATTCATTCTTCCTAAAAAAACATTTTTTATCATTCTATCCGAGGAGATTTTTCTAGCACCTTTCACTTTTTGATATATATCTAAAGGTTATTCCACCTAATTTGGAACAAGTGACATTTTGAGATAGTCATTTTAGTTTTTTCTTGTTGTTCTTTTGTTTCAATAAAAAGATGATGAATGACTCGGCACTATCCTAGACGACTCATTTAGCCGGGCACAACTGCAGCCTCCTGAGTTTTTCAGATATTTGCTGATAGAGAGTTCGTGTCTCCTCTGTCACGACGGTCTATAATAAGAGCATTCGTTTTGGGAAACTCACAACAATAAATATTTCGTTTTTAATCAACATTCTGCTGTGTGTGGGAAAAATGAAATTGATTTTCTTTTATTTCTCAAAGTGAGCAATTTGGCTCTTGGGCCTGCTGATATTGATCAGTGCACAATATAAACCACTTTTGTCTTAATACCCCATTCCAGTAATGCATCCCTTGACATGAATACTGTAGTAAACTATTTGCAACAAGGTCAGATTTTAAATTAGTTGGAGCATGAATGATAATGTAGGAGTGTTCATAACGTCTCCGCTCGAGTGTATTTGCTGTTCTTTTAGAGACTTTTACCGTGTTCTCAGGCTTTGGTCTTTTCTTAATTTTAACCTTATCATTATTTACTTTTGAGGAATGTGTTCTCTCACTTTGTTCCTACTTGTTTTCTGCACACAGAGAACCTGTGCTGAGCTCACACCCACAGCTTTTCTCTTGTAATTCTTCCTCCACACCTATTTGAATTTCTTGCTCACACAGCAGAAACACGGATTCTGCGAACAGTACTGGAATTATTTCATAAGAGCTTGACAATGAAAGATGATTGCAAAATCCACTTAAACCTAGCGTCAGGGAAGCTCTGTGGCGCTTTCATTTCAAAAGAAAGTGTCTATAAATTAATTACTGATAACATCAAAGCTTGTTCCGAGTGAAGGCTTTCCTTTGATTGTATTTGTTATCACGGTAAATGAGCCATTTCCAGTTATTAACTTACTTTACAAAGGTTAACTACAATTGAAAACTTGATATACCGGTCATTAAACATGCTCACTATTAAATATTTTAATACACTACTGGGATATCCTTTGATGTGTTTGCAGCCACAGCACGTAGTAGTAGTAGTAGTAGTAGTAGCAGTGTTGTGCTTGAATCAATCGTATTCTGATGGAAATTGTCATATTGATTTCTGACATTGTCCAAAATATCCAAATATAAAATGCCCATAGCTGTAAACACAAATGCTTATTCAAGGTTTTATCGGCAGTAATTAGAAGTAAATATAACTTAGCAACATGGTTTGTTAAGACAATTTAGTGGGTATGAATAAATATACTTTTAAAGTTTTGTGTCGTCCTATGAGGATCTTTCAGCTAAAAGACAATTCCAAGTAATAATAATAATAATAGCTTGGATTTATATAGCGCCTTTCAAGGGACCCAAGGTCGCTTTACAAGTAATAGGGCAAAAACAAACATAACAAAAGGATTAGGGGCCGAAAGCCTTGGCAAACAGATGGGACTTGAGGGCCCTTTTGAAGGCGTCGAGTGTGGGGATGTTGCGAATCTCCGCAGGGAGAGCGTTCCAGAGGGTGGGGGCTGCCACACTGAAGGCTCTGTCCCCGAAGGTTCGCAGTTTGGTGCGTGGGGTGGTAAGCACCAGTACTTATTTTTGAGTACTAATATCCTTCATTGTTGTCCTACAGCGAGTGGAGAGACGCCCACTCTGGACAGCATCGACTCCTACATGAAGAAGCTCCACAGTATCATCGTCAGCTGCCCCCAGGAGCACGAGAATCTCATCAACACTGTGAGGGACGTGGTCAACCGTCTGGACAGGTGAGAGACGCTTTCATTGCATGACTTCAGTAGACTTTAGAATTGCAGATGATCCATTTACATTAGGGCTGGTTGATGTGGAGAAAATCAAATGTTACAATAGTTCTGATCAAATATCTCGATTTTTTTTCTTTTAGCCTCCATTGACTTTATTGAAGATAGAGTTGAAAAGAGTCTGAGGTCAGTTTTGAGTCGGGGTCATTGGGCCAACAACAACATTTTTTATAAATAATCATTAGTTATATTGGCTAAGTGGGTAAAGGAAAATAATGAAACAGCTATCAAAGTTTAGAAAAGACTGTATTGTTATTTAGCCTTAAAAACGATGAAAAGTCCCATGAGCTATTACAATAAGCAAAATGCATATAGATATTTAGCTTCACATCACAGTATTGACATAATATCAACATATTGCCCAGCCCTACTTTACATTATTGCATCATCTAATGAACAATCATATTTAAAAAAAAATTGTATTGGCTTTAGAGTAAGCTTTAATATCCCTTTCTTAGTCAGACATAAATCAATAAGTCCAGTAGACATACAGTTTCACCTGCAGATTCATGTATCTTTTTCAAGCTTTTTAGTTTGTTTCACCAGTGTTACATTATTATTAAATTTCTTTGGGAATAAATAATGAGTTTGTCTTTTGCTGTCATGCTTTTTCCGCAGATAATTGGACCGTGTCTCGAGGCTGCTCCCTGACGGTGAATCTTCCTTCCGATCTGTCCTCCCAATTTATTTTTAAGCATCTTTTATTGCTTCTCTAAGTTGATGTATGTGAAGGGGATGTAGGGACTCATATTTATTTATTATTGTTTTTAAAAAAATGTACACTCTGTCCTCACTTTAATATAGCTGTAGTGTGTTTTATAAATCAAATGGTAGGACATGAAAAAGTTTTCTGACACTCATCGCTCCTGTTCTGTCTTTATGTCCATTTATAGCAAATGCTTTCACAAACAATATCTAAAGCATTATCAGACATGTTCTAAACAAAGACAAAGTGTATCCGTGGGTTCACCATATCCAAGAAATGTTTTCTGTTTTTATACTCTGTTGAAGAAAAACATGTGCCATTTATTTTTTTCTCCTGTGTGTAAAAGTGTTTGTGTTTTCAATAAACGTATTTACATCACGAGCAGTCGGTTTGTTTGGATATAGGTTCATAACATGCTGGAATATATTTGCACTGAAATATAAAATCTAACTTAAAGTGGAGCTATCATGCTATATTTGAATAATATAGTGTAGGACCATACCTATATAAGGCATATTTATACTTTTTATTTTTCAAAATACCAAACAGATCATGCATTTTAGCCATTCCTCATTTCTCTCAATTGAACACTGTCTTTGCATGGGCTGATTCTGTGAGAACAGCACCATCTACAGGCCTGGCATATGTACTACAGCGTCTCCAGCGCTTTCCAACGGCAATTTCCGTGGCTGTCTCCTGATTGGTGGAGTTGGCCCAATAGCCGTAGCGCCACTTCTGTGAGGTCACAGAAGTGTTCAAATCTGGATCAGTCTGTATCAGATCCGTTGCGGCCCCTTTTTAAGAGATTTGGGTATGGAGGAAAAGAGAGAGGGTTGTGTTTTCTGACACTTGGTGAGTTCCCTGGAACACCGGGGACACATGTTCATTTATAAAAGACAAACAAAAGTGCATTTTGCATGATAGGTCACCTTTAAATACACTGGACCATTGCCCTAGATTCTTAGTTCATCTATACAGAATCTGTCTCTCCGTAGCTCAAGCTATGACAAATATTTAGAGAAAATGGTCCCTCTTAAAGTTTAAGTAGTTTTATATACAGCGACTTTCAGGTGTTTAAAAGGTAACTTTGATGGTGTGTCTCAAAATTGCCAAATATTAGTATTTGTAATATGTATATTATGTTTCTATTGACTCAATGTTCCATTTCCAGTTTGTGAGAGCCTCCCTGCCATCTCCCAGCTCATCGCCACCATCATCAACTCCTCCCTCAGATCTGGGTCGGTTCCCCACTCTCTCAAACTGGCTGCTGTCACACCCATTCTCAAAAGACCTGGACTCACACCTGACATCATGTCCAACTTCCGGCCCATCTCAAATCTCCCCTTTCTGTCAAAAATACTTGANTTATTTTGAAGGTGAGTTTACGCTGTTGACAGGAAGTTGTTGTTGCTATGGAAACAACATGATGGAGATAAGTAATATCTTCTAATCTACATATAAAGACGGAGAAAGTAAAGAATAAAGTGTATGTTTAAATGTTAGCACCCCCCGAAGAGGCACAAGCTCTTACGTTGAGTCTGGATACATTCTAAATCATCAGTAAAGTCTACGACCATATTTTCGTGTGTGGTTCGGGTGCCATCGTGTGGCCTTCTGTAGGCATCGTACTTGCTTCGGCTGTTGCTTCGGCTGTTGACCAAGTTCAGGGCCATCTTCGTGCGAAATTCACAATTCCATATTCGTGTGTCAATCTGGTGTCAATTTCGGTGATTTTAATCATGGGCAAAACCAAGTAGGTGGAAGGAGATGGTATCCAAAATCCAACACTAACAAAGAAAATCAGAACTCTTCGGTAGTAAAATTAGATCAATTGTTAAGGATAAAACGTACCCCGAATCGGAAACTGCTAAATATTTTATCAGCTCAGCATTAGTGGCGCATGCAAATGTGTTTTAAAGTCAGTTATCTGGTAACTTTTACTGAAACACTTTCCCGGGAGCTGTGGTTGACTTATTATCAAAGAACCAGATGTTATTAACTCAGTTGTTCATTAATGCCAATCCCTGCCTTTGAACAGCCAGTAAGATACCAATGCCAGTTCAGAAAATGAACATGACTTGCTGCCGGACATAACTCCTATTACGTTGCACCATTTTTTTTTTTTTTTAAATGCCCATAAAAACAGGCAACTTTAAGTCATGTACTGTGGGCTGAAAACATGGCAACCAGCCACGTTTAGAAGGTCATTTAGTTAAAATGCATGGCATCTTATCTGCCCTCCCTTCCTGCAGATTGTGGCCATTAGTAATCACCTCCCATGCTGTTGTGCAAAACACCTCAGCTTCCACTTCTGCATGCCCAGACATTCAGTCCAGCAGCACTTCTCTGCTGCAAATCTGCACAACGGATATATCGATTCAGTATGAAAAGGTGACAGCTGAATGGACTGCATCTCTCTTTAAAAAAGGGCATGCCTGCTTGGCTCTGGAGAAAAAGACACCATGAAGGGAAAGAAAGGAAGAATGGAAATGCACAGCTGGAGTGTAAAAGCAGTAAAAAGAGAAAGACAGAAAAAGACTGAATGGGATAAAAAAAAGGAGAGAGGGATATTGAGTGAAAAGGGCAGAGTAGTCTACCATCCTTTGATGGCCCTGGCCGAAAGCAGGACCTGGGCTTTATCTCCAGCGTCTGTCACCGTGGAGACAGCTGCTCACATCAGCACCAGCCCAGGGGAATCCAAATCTCCACCAGGGGAAAATGAAGGAAGAGAAAATAGAGAAACCAAAAAAGCAGAGCATCTCTTCTCCAGTTCCCTTCACTGTCAGACCCGGACAATCAAAAGAAGAAGAAGACAGGGAGGATGTTGGTGGGAATACAGTGAATGGGATTGAAAGAATGACAGCAAGCAGCCATTCATCCGTCGCTCCAAAGAGAACAGCTTTTGAAAAACAAAGCAAAAGTCAAGGTAGAGCGGCTGAGTGGTGAACAGCAGCTGTATATATGACTTCTTTATAAAGCATGCAGAGTATGCCTGAGGACATAATCACAGTCATGTCTCTGCAGTATTAGCCTCAGTGTGAAAAGCTCAGCCAACAAGACTCCGTACATGGAAGAGGTGACACTGCAATAATCCACAGCCAGGAAGTACACAGAGGTTGCGTACATACAGCGGTGTGTCATCTGTAAATGTCTGCTTAAGTGGGTTATAACTTTAGAAAACGTGAAGGCAATTTGTCACCAGCAGAAACCACATCCCCGTTACAACCTGCCGCGGGAAACAGGAAGAAAAAACCCTGCAATGCAGACAGGATGGATTGGACCGTTTGGAAATTTAAAATGTCAACTGTCAAATTTCCCGGTGTTCAATTTGATTGCAATGAAATAGGGTTACAGTTCAGCAGACAATGTCTGATGGGATATATTCATCATTATTGGGTAATTGCAAGAAGCTACCATGTGCTCAGGCAGAGAAAGAGGGATTGAAAGAGGGAGAGGGGTTGAGAGGGAGGAGAAGGGGTGGAGAGTGTGAGAGGGAGATGGAGGTAGAGGAAAATAAAGAGGTACGGCCTAAAAACCATTAGAGAGGATTTGCTCTGGTGCAACTATTCACAAATGTGTGAAAATGTGACATTCTGAGAGGTATGCTCCATTATTGAAGCTCCGCAGCGACACAGTGCTAAACATGGGTTCAGTTGCTCCCTGACTGTGTCGTCATAGCAATAGATGGGCGGCGGGTGATGGATGCAGGTGATGGAGGTGGGTTATTCAGCTGTGCTCAATGGGAGTGATTCCACATTTTCAGAGACTACGATGTGGAAATGGTTTTATTCAGCATTGACTTTCTTTCTGTAGCATGAGAAAAGCTTTTATTGTATACAGGGCCATTCAAATCCTCTCAAGCTATTTTCCTAAAAGAGGCAGCATTAAAGTAATACCTTAAAATATTTTACTTAATGCATACTTTGCTGCTCTCTTAGCAAGAATCCTTTTAAACAATTTGTAACCCTGATTCGATTTTTTGTTTCAACAAGATCTTTGCTGTGAAATAATAGTCCTGTGCTCGAGAAGGGATGCCGTTATGATTTAAGCTGCAGTTTGTATAAAAGTAAAATCAAAGGAGACCCGGAGACTTGCAATTCCAAATGTAAGTTATTAAAGCCTCAAAATGCGGACAATTTGGTGTTAATTGTGTTTTAGCAACACAAAGTGATGTGGATCTATGGATAGCGATTGGTCGGTCCACTACTCTGGTCCATACGGTCATATCTGAAAGACTTTTGAAT